CTTGCGGCCGGGAGGAAATGTTTGCCAGGGTTGGGTTCTGCTCCGCGGCTGGCAGAGCCACTCCTGAGGGACAGGCAGCGAGGGACTGCTGGCTCCTTCCCAAAGAAAGCTTAGGGACAAAAGGGCACTGCATTTCCCCTTGCCCTGCAGCCCTCTCCTGGCACGGCCTCGCTTCCTCCATCCTCCCAAAGGTCAGCCATCGAGCTGATTAACGCTGACGGGGCTGAAGTAACTCTGCCGCGGGGGTTAGGGCAGCCAGACGTGACCCGAGCAGGGCTGGGGAAGCAGGCTTTGCCTCCCCTCCTCGCAGGCCTGCTGCTGCATTTGCAGAGAGGCGCCTGCATGACCACGCTGGGGGAACAAATCTGGGGTGGGGGGGCAGAAGAGCAGAGCAGCAGCTTGGGTTTTCCCGGTCTGAAGTCCCTCTCCTCGCACCGGTGCAGGAAGGAGAAGGGCTGCGGGTGCCTGCCCAGCCCCATGTGCCCAGCCGGCCCCGCTCGTGCTTCAGGGTGCTTTGCTCTGAACCGGCCCTTAGCACCCTCTTCCAAAAAACTCCCCAAGAGGAACTTGCGCTGCTCATCTCGAAGGCTGTGATGAGCCCATAATGCTTCTAGAAGATTTTCTCGAGGGAAGCAGAAGTCTACGGGCAGCAGACACGTGTTTTGTCCTGCCCCATTGGGAAAGTTGCTCTTTTCACCGCTCTCCCTCTGCAGCCACATCCGTGCAAAAATTGGCATGTTGTATGGAAGTACCAGTCAGACCTGAACAGGGGTTGCAGAAAGTCCCTGTCTGCTCAGCCACCCACATCAGCACCTGGCGCCGAATCCTCCCTGCTTCTTTCAAGCTGTCACCGTCCCGGTCCAGCGCCCTGCCTGCACCTCCTAGCCCTGCAAGGGGGGGGTTCGGCATGTTGCAATGCTGCAAGTAACTTGGCAAACACCAAAGCGGCTTCAAACGCTGTCAACTCCCTTTTAAAAGGGAGCCATAGCTGTGCTGGGAGGGCC